TATCGAACAAATTGTATTTAACTAAACAATATTTTCTATTCAAAACACTAACGAATAGAACAAAACAAATAGAATTGTGAAATCGATCGATTTAAATTTGATAGGACATTCTCTAGTTTCTTCCAATTAACATGTACATACAATTCGTCGAATTTAGTTAAATGCAACAAACAAATTCATATAAAAATTTTCTTTCGAACGGCAAGTAATTAATTGAAGTAGCGCATCGTTTATATGAACAAAATTACTTAGAAATGGTATTATAAATAAATAATAATATTTAAAAAAAATTGTCAAATTTCTCGGGACACTAATTTTAAGTATAATATGAATACCTATTTACAAAGTCGTAAAGCTAATTACAAACGTGAGCAATAATTGATTTTACTTCCTTTCTACGTTGATAACAAAGATGCAAATAAAGTTTTCTACTCTTAATACTTTTGAATATATTCGATTTACTGGAATAACATGGATACAATATGAATCACGTATGTGTTTTATATTGCTATTCATGTTAAATTGAATTTCTCTATTTCAGATTTCTTGATTTTTATCATTAGTCTCTTAAAGTTGACGCAAAACTGCATACAAATTTCCATTCACTTTCAAAAAGTATTTGATAACTCCGAAAAAATCTATTTTATTTTCTTTCCATTGCACATGGAAATTTGTACGCTTGTTTTGTGAAGTATATAAGTCAGAAGTAAAAATTTCGTCTCTTTTTTTGCATCTTTGAAAAATCTGATAACCTGATTCATGTAATTCTTTAATTGTGAGATTCATTGCATTACATATTGCTCTACGATCATTGTTCGTGAAATAATGTCTGGTATGTGGTCCATGTGTGCAAGTTTCAGTGTTGTTAAGAAGTCTCTGTGGATTCATTAGATATTTAATATTCTGATAAGCTTCTAAAATCCTCATAGTGTTAGACAATTCGACGTCTATTTTGTTAGAACCGTGAGACATTTTTACTAGCTCTCCATTCTGATCCTCAGATGTGAAAGCCGACCAAATCCAGAGTGGACCCCACCTTTTAACATGAGGTTTCAGATGTAGCAACTGATAAAGATTCGATGAACATTTATTACGACTATACAAAAACTCGAAATCAATTTAGACGATTCTTCAAAACTACAGGTCCATAGTAAACAAGAAATGCCCTAAGTTCTGAGGCCTTCCAGTCATTAATTTGGCTTAGTTTTCTTGGTGTGCGCGTAATGTTATCCGGTGGTGCAATCGATTCAAGTATTTTATCAATAGCATCTCGAACTTCTTTTGATAAATAATAAACCTTATCATGACTACTCGAATTGCACCACAGATTAATTAATGCTAGCATAACACCAAGCAGAACTGAATGCATATAGTCAGGAGGAAAACCTATTGACCTATCGAAAAAAGGTATATTAGTAACAATAGACCTTCCTTTGACTCCCCGAAAGTTTTTCAAATTGACAAATCTCTCAACAATTTCTGTTTGTATTTGCATTTGTTCGGCCGACCTTAAAGGAATATTTTCTGGATCCATTGGAAAAACCCAGTTTGTGCCGGCACCGACTACAGAACTTTCTCCTTTAGCTTCGCAATTTACACAGCTATATTCCCCAGTATGAAGCATTACAACCTGAGTAGATGCTCCTGCTGGAGAGTCTAGACTTGCAACAGGAGCAATAACTCTACTTATAGTTATTTCGTTCAACGTTCGATTAAACCATGAAAGTCCATTTCTAAATAAACGTCTTAAGGTCTCTGCAAAAGGATGCAAAAAGGAGTTTATGTCTGGTTTTTTATTCTTTCTATTAGAATAAAAAAGGCCACATACAAACTGAAAATTTCTTCGAAATTTCGGATGTATATTTACAACCTAGGCATATACTGGCCACATTTGACTTTTACCACTTTTGGAGACTTGCACTCCATCAGTATACCAAATTAGGCACAAGTCATATTGGCCAGGTATAGCACTGGTTTTTAATCGTCGAAATTCGGATCCAGACGTTAAATCGTATATTTTTTGGGGGTTTCTAGTCGCGCATTCAGCTTCGAAAAGGTCGATCAAAGTACTAAGGTCCATAATTTCGAAAGCATTTCGTAATTTTGATTCTATATCGAATTCTAGAAAGAAACTGTTTACTAACTATTTCGCTATTGCAACGAGTACACTGCTCTATTTAAACTTCATCCCATTTTCCCAAATAGTTATGACATTCAGAACAAATTCTGTGCTTCACAGATAAATTTGATTGTGAGTGTGGTAATATCCTATCATTTAATGTCAGTAATTTATGTTTTGTTTTTGGTATTATGTGGTTTTCAGGCAAAAGAAAATTTATTGTTTCCAATAAATCTTCTAAAGCTGCAAAATTCGACACAATGCGTCACCAATATTTACGGTAGCTTGAGAATAAACCGAGCCAATCTACCATGTTATCATCATCACAATTATCATCATCAGTATCATTAAACGTTGCTGTAGATGACTGATGAAAAAAGGGATCAGATGATGTAGCAAAAGAATGTTCTTCTTCTGTTGTCGATTCTGATGTAGAAAGTGATTCAGAAGACGAAGAAATTTGGTCTAGTCTAGGTGAGTTGGTAAAAGAATTTGATCTTGAAATTGATAAAGACTCATTGTCAGTTGATAAATTTGAAGATGAAGTTGTTAATGATCTAATGAACGGCATATCAACTTGATCTTCTTCAGAGTTCATTTTGACGTTATTACACGAGAACGAAGTTGATGAAGACGAAAAAGAAATTGTTGAAAGTTCTTCGTTTTCGTTTTCAGTTTCGGAATTCTATAAAATTTCAAAATTCACAAGACTTCTTTAAGTCTTAACAATATATAAACCAATCTAATTAAGGAGGAATGTACCTTAAGTTAAAGTTAGGAAAAGTTCTTACGAAAAAGTATTGCAGTGAGTTCTTGCGAGTGATTCAGTTCTCAAAAATTTTCAAGATCATAAAACTCACGAGTCGTTTAACACATAAGCCACGCCTCCGAGGCGATTTCAGGGATGTGTGAAGCATATTTATTGCCCCGAAAGACACAATATTTAATGGCTTTGGTCCGTTTAAATTATACAGCACTGTACACTGGCGCGCGCATACTATAGAAATTGAACGACTCGTGAATCGGACACTGATCAGCTGTTGAACTCACTGTATATTATATTTTTATAAAACAATTATGCATGTGCTGCTCTGAGCAAGAAGGGATCTAAGCTCCAAAAATTTATAGGTTATTTTGAAACTCACATTTGTATAATAAAGAATTGAGTAAAAAATAACTGTAGCTTAAAGCAATTATATAAGTTCAGTTAAACTAAAACATTATAAATTTTGTTTCAGAGATTTGTTGATAATTGAGGCTGTTTTCGGCGTTCGCCCCGCGTTAACTCTGAGTTAACTTTGATCCAATCATCTATAACATTTTGTTGGATCTACCAATCACAATTAGCCTGGAGTTTACTCGGAGCGAACGCCGAAAACAGCCTGAATAGCAGTAAGCGACAATAGTTTACTGCTATTTTCGACTACCTGACTATCATTAGAGCGTACATTCAAATGTTCGGTGATTTCTTCCCGGGTTGTAAAATCATCTTAAAAATTTATTGGTTATTCAGTGCTATTTAGAATATTTTAAAATCATTTTTACCGCGATAAACGGGACCTATGAAATAAAATCATTTAACTTAACCAAACATTTTTTGTTTCTAAAAACCATTGACCTATGGAGAATATATTTTACGAGATCAAAGACCCAATGTTAACTTCAGACAAAACTTCAGAGCTATGTAAAATTATTTGATTTCAATGTATCTTGAATGTATCATTGAATCATAAAAAAGATTTAATTATGTCTTTGTACATTCTTCCTTAGAAACAAAATAAAAACAAAGCGTTACCATTTTAAGACTTTTCGTCTCGGATTAAGTAAAACTTGATACTTCTGAGTTTCAATAAAAGCTCCTTTGCCTTTGAAAATTCACACCTGAAAATTAATTTTTATCAAAGTACCATGGACTTTAAATAATATTATTCAATTTTATTAACAATTATGCAACGCTTTTTTTTAACATTTTAGCGCATATTTTCCTCTAAAACAATTATTAAGTGTCTGAAAATGACAATGTTTATTGATTGTTGAGGAATTTGAATGACTGTATAACTCACATAAGCAAAAATCGACATTAAAAAATTTCGTAATACGAAGTTTTACATAATGTAAAACTCAACATATTAAATTTAAAAATTCTCATTTTAATACTGGACTCATATAAATAGAGATGCGAAGAGGTAATATAACCCGGAGAACGGTAACGAGAACGAGAACATAACCGAGAATATAACCGACCAACATTCTCCAAGAGAATTTATGAGAATTTTTGTGTTTGTTGGTTTCCCTCATTTTCGTCTGCTATTTTCATGTGAATATAGAAATAATAGAATTTACATGTGAACTGCGCTTTTATTAATGAAATGGTTAAAAAAATAAGGTAATTATTTTAAAGTAATTTATGTTATTATTTAAATTTAGATAAATAATTACTTTTAAAAGATAATAAACTGTTTGATTGAAATAGAACTTAAGTTACGATTACAATATTTTTGTAACAAAAATAAATAAAAAAATGTGACCCAGACATAACCTCAAAAATCTAAATTTATCAATCATCTTAAAACCATTATTTATTTCATTCACATTACTTTCAGTATTTTATAACAATTTAACTTTTATTTTATTCATTATTATTGAAATTGTTGTTTTTTCAGTCGAACGGAAACATGACTAAACCGAAGAGCAATGTTTGGGATTATTTTAGACCCAAAAAAATATAAATAGAAACCTTGAAGGTTATGCCTGCATATTTTGTGATATTTTATATCAGAAAAATGCTACAAGACAAAAAAAACATTTAAATAAATGTTCGAAATGTCCGGAAGACATTAAAAAAATATTCAACGTTGGATTAGAAACTAACAAATCTAAAATGATATGTCTTACTTCTTCAGTGTTGAATCATCAGGTAATTAAAAATATTGTTAACACCTAATTTTAAAAATTAATATTGAAATTTAATGAATTATTTATTCTCATATCTATTTTCAATACAGATAATGCCTTTACCACGAAAATGAGGACGATCAAATTTTGCAAGTTTCTGGCGATAATATTATATCTACAAAAAGTAAAGACAAATCAACCTAAGCTGTTCACTATGAAAAACTAACTCGATTCAATTACATCAAATGAACAGGTACAGACTATAAATAAATGTAAATATTCTATATTAAGAAAACGTCATTACAATTAATTTAAGTTTACAAAATTTATTCTCTATCATAATCTTTAGGTTTGATATATTGAAATAATAATTAATTAAATAATTTGTTTTTCATAGAATGAGCTTGATGAACATTTTGCAAGAGCTATTTATAGTTCTGGGACACCTTTGAGTTTATTTGAAAATAAGTACTGGGGAGATTTTTTTTTAAAATTTTGACCAGGTTGAAAAAAAACCTTCGAGACACAAATTGAGTGAACCTTTATTAAAAACGGAGTTTAGAATTGTTCAACAAGATGTTTTTACAAAAGTAGCAGAAGCAAGTGTAGTTGGAATACAATGCGATGGGTGGTCTAATAGAAGGTCAGTTTCATTTTTCTTAGATATTTTAATTAAAATATTTCTTACTGTTTAAAATTTAAATTCGTAATTAAATATTGTTATTTGCGTTTAATACATCGTTAAAATCTAACATGAATTTGTATAAAAAGACTATTTGAATATATTAAAAACTTTATAATTTTTAGGAATGAATCTATAATTAACGTCATTGTTACTACTCCGGAGCCTGTTTTTTATGAGACCTACGACACAAAAGATGATTCTCATACAGGAGAATATATGACAGATCTTATTCTGCAAGTGGTAGATAAAATCGGCAATTAAAAAGTGTTATCGGTCTTAACAGATAATGCAGCCGCTATGATAAAAGCAAGAAAACTAATTAAGCTAAAGTATAATCATATAGCAATATATATGTCGTAGGCGAAAAGGAAAATCCGTCGTTTAGCTTAATGCCTAGGCTTTAAGCTAAACGCGGGCGAATAGGAAAATTTTCATGTAAATGACAATTATTTTTTGAATCGCCTGAATTCGTTAGTCATTTAGCTTAATGCCTAGGCTTTAAGCTAAACGCCCAAAGAGCGCCAGCCGAATAGAAAAATTTGTATCGATTGATCAAGAATAAACAATGTTATGAAATTTCAATTAGAAATATAATAGAAAAAATCCAAATTAAAGACAAAAATATTTTTCACAAAATTGCAATAATTTATTGTAATTAATTGAAGTCAACTGAAAAGGAGAAAATAACAATTTATTTATTGCAGCAAGTTAAACTTTGGTGGCATTGCTAACTGCAAATTATTTTTAATTTAAAGTAAGAGCACCTATTTGTCTTATATTGATTTTTAGCCGCCTTACAGTAACATTTTTTAAATCCTTGTCCGCCGCACATAGATTGATGTGATGCATCTTCTCTTAAAGTCAGAGTGACATCTGTACAAACTTCGTCAATTTTTAGAATTTCAGTACCTGATTGCGATATATCAGTTCGCGGAAACCAACCTTTAATGATGCCGTTTTTTGTACCAATTTGGTAAACATCGTTTTTAATGTCTATTACGACGCCTTCAATCATAGAAAAATCTAACGGGCCACGATCAACATCAGGTACCACCAAAGTTACGCAATTACCGATTGTTAATGGAGGAAACTGTTTGAGACTAAATATAATTTTGAATATTCTATAAAATTAAATTTAAAATGTAGTTTCAACTAAGAATATTTAAAAGCAAAGAAAATAAACAAAAATTTAGAAACGATTTTCAATTCAAAATACCTGCAATATAATATTATTAATAATTGAAATTTCATTACAATGTTTATTCTTGATCAATCGATACAAATTTTTCTATTCGCCTGGCGCTCTTTGGGCGTTTAGCTTAAAGCCTAGGCATTAAGCGAAATGACTAACGAATTCAGGCGATTAAAAAAATAATTGTCATTTACTTGAACATTTTCCTATTCGCCCGCGTTTAGCTTAAAGCCTAGGCATTAAGCTAAACGACGGATTTTCCTTTTCGCCTACGACATATAGATGTTTGGCTCATGGATATAATTTATTGATTGGTGATATTATGAACATAAAAACTTTACAAAGTTTGAAAACTCAAGCGAACAAGATTGTAAATGAAATTAATCTTTTACACAAATTGAAAGCAACGTTGGCGAAATATCAAGAACTAGTAAAGCTTGAAGATCAGGAAGAAGGTTCCAATCAAGCAGATTCAGGTTTTGTTTTTTTAAAACTCCCTGGGAAAACTCGATGGGGTTCAATGGTGTTTTGCACTGACAGTTTATTGAGAAATCAAAGACCTTTGCAAAGATTAGCTATAGCCAAAAACATAGGTCACTATTTATCAACGGAAACTCGAGAAAATATTTTAAGTAATAAATTTTGGTACGGATTACAATTCTTACATCAGGTTCTTCTATGTATCGTGAAATGGATTACCATTTTTGAAGGAAACTCTTGTACTTTAAGTTTAGCAACCGTTTTCTTTTCCGAAATATCTGAAATTGTGGGACAAGTTTTACAAGAATCTCCTCTTTCTGATAATGAAGATAAATTAATTAAAACGTCAATTGAAAATCGAAAAAAATTCATCTTACAACCAATCCATTACGCTGCGAATTTACTTGATCCAAAATTGAACGAAAAAGGTTGTAACGTTTTATTATGTTTCTGTTCTACTAACAATCCTTGTTGATACTCAGATTGAATAATTTATATTAGTACTATATTTTCAAATTGTATTTCGCGCCTTAGCGCCAAACTTAAACACCAGGCGTCGCGCACGCCATAAATAGCAGACGACAAAAGCACATGTTGCTTTTGCCGGCAAGAAACACCAGATTGGTGTGAACCGCACTACAAATTACATGTTACTGTGCATCTAGAATTCTGTATTATTTTTGAAATTCAACAATTAATAAATTGTATTGTTTTCTAAGTGCACCGTTTTCATTCAATTGTTACTCCAGTGCAATAAAAATCGACGTCGTTCAGTTGTGGGAATAAGTAAGGTGAGTCTCTCAACTTTTTCTTTGCTTGTTTCTCTAGAAGGAAGGAAGAGAGGTTAATTTGTTTGACAACCGAGCAGTGGTTTCCTGGTTGGCAATTGTGTCTCTTATTATGAGTCGAACCCCTAATAATTTTCTATAAATAATTCTCATATTGTTGGCCACAAGGTTTAACAAGATTGGAACAATTAGAGGGCAAAAAATTTATTCATGATCGAGTCATGTATAAATATGGGAACAATAAAAATTCGGTAAAGCAAATTTTAGAGGATTTAGCGGAATATCGAAGTGGCACTGGTATTTATGCCAAAGATTTTGTGAAATCAGTCATTGAAACAGTAGAAGCTCCAATATGGTGGAAAGGTACTCTTGCAGGCTCGGAATTAAGTGTTATTGCAGTTGATATATTGGGAATGCCCTCAACAAGTGCAGCTACAGAAAGAAGTTTCAGTGCTTTTGGTAATATTCATACAGTCAAAAGAAACAAATTAACAACGCTAAGAGCTTCTATGTTAACATATATTCAGCACAACTTGCAATTGCTTACTGAACATAAATCAAAAAAAGAAAAAATGCGACTGAATTTTGAATCAGAAAATTGGACTAAATCTGATGACAATTTTAGAGAGAGCAACAATAATGATACAGAAGAATTTGAAGGAGGTCGCTATTGTTCCGAAATAGAAGAGGAGATGGAAAACTTTTCCATAACAGAAGATATTCTAGCCGAATTGCAAGAATCGTTCTAAGACAGTATTTTGTATTTTAAACGTCGTAAATCAGTATTTTTTAAATTAAAAGGCTGTAATATTTTATAAGTATCTTAAATGTGATATAAAAATTAGTAAGAGAAAAAGATTTAAAATATAATTTTAATGTAACGTAACTTACAAAACTCTATAGCTGTTATTTGTAAAAGATTTTAATTTCAAGGAATAATAGTACTCAAATTAAAAAAATTATATTTCTTTTATTAAAAAAATTACCTTATATAATAAAAAGATCTTTTTTAATTGTGCGTAACCCCTTTATTTATTTATTCATAAATTTAAAAAAATAATAGGTATTTTTTTCAAAATATTAAGTTATTTATTTATTCTAACGAAATTAAATTGTTATGGAATTATTTATTGTTAATTATTTTTATTTAGTAATATTATGTAATGTTATTTATTTTAATTAACTATTATCAATTTCAATTTATTCAATTTGTTTTTATTCTAAAACAAGTAAGTGCGCGCATAAGTTTAAATGTAGAGAAAATTCTCTTACATTCTCCGGAAGAAGAATATTCTCGGTCATATTCTCGAGAATATAACCGTAGTTTAAATTACCGAAAATTTTGCATCTCTACATATAAAGCAGTAGTTACCAATTTTGTCATGCAATAATGCAGTGTTATAGGGGATTTTTAATTTTCTACAGAAACCTCACTAATTTACTCCAAGCTTAGTAACATATTAATTGGTCTAAAGTTTTAAGTAAAACGAATTGTTTATCTATAATATAATAATAATTGATCCAATTTGTTAAAATAGCCATATCTTTTTAAAAATTTTAAATATAATCAAGTTGATTTTTTCTATTTAACTAAGTAAAACAAAACACATAAAATAATTAATAATCACATTTGTTATTAATTAGAAGAATTATTTAAAAAAAGAATTTGAATATGATACTACATCATTAATAATTTATTAAATATTTATACAATTTTTGTATTTTAATAATAACAGAAGCAGCTGCGCTGTTGTATTGTCGTCTGCTGGTATTAAAATTTCATTATTGCGATACTTTCCTTTAGCTATAAAGATACTAACACAATTCAAGACAAAATTAAGAAAATTAAATTAACCTTACCTCACTTTTCTACTGAAAATCATGTTCAAATCTTATGGAATCGCACAATATATATACGTATTTAATGTGTTTAACTTAAGAACGAAACGTCATTTTATCTCAACATTTTGATTTAGCTGATAGATATATTTTATATAGTAATGTGTATAGAGCCGATATTTTCTCGATAATTGTTATCTGTCAAAATACAATATACACTATATCCATTATACAATCGTAACTAACCGTACGCGAATTTAAGGTTGGGTACACAATAGCACTCTTGAACGAAACCTAAACGTAACGAAACAAATTAGCATTGTTACGTTACAATTACGTTTTGTTCAAGGTGCTATTATGGTCTCAACCTAATGGCATGTACGTTGCGTGGCTGACTTTTTATAGGTTGTCATGGTAAAGGACGAGAGTAAAGGGCCAGTCCCATTTCGGCGTAAAAATGTCAAAGCGTCGGCGTTAAAGTATGTGATTGAGCGAGACAGTAATATAAGGTTGTTGCTTTCACTATCATATAGCTTTGACGTTTTTACGCCAACATGGGACTGGCCCTTAAGAGAGAGAATCAAGTGCAATTTGAATTTACTTTCTCTTTTACTCTAATTGTCTATCTTTGTTACTCTTATGGCTGCCTGTGCAAGTAGCTGAGCTGTGACCGAAGTATTTTACTGTAAAAACCACGTAATTTACCTGAGGTATTTTACGCGCCCAACCCTGTTCATTGCATGTTTGCGAATCTTTGTGTGTCAGCCTTGAAGCCTAATGTGTGCTCAATTATTGTGCGTTGACCTTTACGTTTATCTCCACGAAAACATGAATTTGTAAACAAAAAGATTCTGAAAATAAATTTTAACTAAGTTGGATATTTAATTCTTTTAATTAACCCATTAAAGGACCAGACGGACGAAAAATTTCAATTGACTTTGAGGACCTCATTTTTTATTAAA